TTTTCTCTCCTTTGCCTTTTGTGGCTAGATTGTGGTTATTAACTCTTCACCATCCTGTGTGTGGGCATAAACTCAGGGAGCAACCGTTTGGTGTCTTGGTTGGAGTTTGGGTTTTCTCATTGTGGTGTCGATTGGAGTATTCTGAGCCCGGTATTTTGGTGTAGCTTGGTCTTTTCAACCTCACATTTAGTAATGCCATTTTGCACAGTAGGGTAATGAAAATCCATAGGAAACAAATTGTTGGCATGAGCTGTACAATTAGAGAGGTACAGTATACTGTAGCTCTATGGATCAACTTGAGAATAAAGCCTTTGAGATCACTGCCTTGACCCTCGTTGATCATCCACCAGAAATGCCAGGAAATTGTTAAAAAAAACGAGTGAAGTAGGCTTCAAAAATGAATACCCAAAAAGGATTTAAGGTAACTTGTTTATATGCGAACCACTTCACACAATGCAATGAATCCAAAAAACGATTCATCTTAATGGATTGCGAAAAAAAATCTAGCCTTTATTCGTTGAGCAACCATCATGTTGGTTGGTGTCTACTTCACAAGCCTTTATGTCCGTTCTGTAACCTCCATTTTCTCATGTTTTCACAAGGCTGTAAAAAGAGAGAAGGGGCAATTCTAGCGATCTTGTGCCTAGCTTTAGTAACTCTTATCACTGAAGTACTTATTTAGCCTCTTAAGTTCCCCATCAAAAGTTTATGGAAATCCTTGAATTGTGTGCACTCCACTTCAGAATATCAAACCTTAACATTATTCGGCCAGTCATCCCTCTCTTCTCATAAACGTTGAATATCTTCCCCTCTTCACTAGTATCAATTTCGGCAGGCAACTCATCCTCCAAGTCAAGATCAAGGCAATCAACTAGAGGTTTGTAGGCAAACTTCGACACACACGAATGGCGAACTATTTATTTGCAAATTCTTTGTCAGAGCATTGACATATAATGGCTTCCCAACTCCACTCGCAACATAACATGACCCTTCCTTGATCTACAAGAAACTGGTATTGTATATTGAATTGAAGGACTATGATGCACGGACACGGACACGTGTGTTCGACACGTACGTGTCGGATACGCCGACAAGCGATTTTTAAAAAAAGTACAGACATGACACGTCATCGACATGTTGATTAAATTTTTAAAAATTCTTCATTTATATGTATAAATTTAGTTTTATACTTATTATTAATTTTTCTTGTTGAAATATTTTAAACATGAGTATCTATTTGTTACTTGCTAATAATTTTGATTTAATTATATATAATATTTCTAATATTAAAAAAATGATTACGGTAGAGTGTCCGAGAAGTGTCGATATCGACTCATGTCCAACACGTGTCGGACACTGACACGCTGCCCTTATTGAAGTGTCCGTACTACAGAGTTGAAGGACCTCAATGAGGCCCTATGAGTGACCATTTTCCAATCTCTTTTGTTTAAGCACATTTTAGATGGACGTCAAATTTACACTGAATATGGAAAACGAAATTATTCCGTCCAATTATGTTGAGGTTCACCTTTTCAGGTCACTATACACACCTGCAAACGTTGTATTACAGTTGGATTAATTCCTGCAAGCATCTGTCTCCCAAATTCGTCATCATTTATCCACGCAAATTTGTTCCCTAAAATGCAGAAAATCAGAATCAGGTTCTCCTTGAATAACAACTTAAAAAATGAAAATTACATTTTATTTTGCGCTGACAGGCTTATATGTATTAAAGCATCACCTGCTATGATTTCAGGAAGCGGAGATTTCACCGGGTTCTTCTTGATTACTTGTTTAATTTTTTTAAGAAGATCACCAGGCACTGTTGGTTTCAAAATCTTCGCTACCCATTCTTCCACTCCTTGGACCCTAGTAGTTGTGAACAACTGTTGTATCTCATTGAAGGACTCAAAATGACTCGATCCCTCTTTGAACATCGCTTTTGCCTCAGGAATAACAAAACGCATAGCAGCCTGGATTACATTTGATATGAACTCTGATAGTTTCTTAGGGCTAAACCGCTCATCTGGAGGTACATATATGTCGATGTTGAATGATTCAGGTTGGCTCTCAGTTCTAAAATCTAAATATTTTATAAAAACCGTATCAACATATGTCATTCCTATAGATAAATTAATTATAAAAAGGTTAAAAATTCTGAGAAAATCAAGTACCATAGTTGCAGGAAGGGCGACCAGTTCTTAATCTACGAGGATATGGATATGACCAAGAACCACCTAAAACAGGTCTTATATACTCCAGGCCTTTATCAGGATTGCCAAGGTCATTGTAGTAGTCATAGTCATAGATTTGATCCCATTCTTTTCTTTCCCCTGTTCCATCTCCTCTTAATCTAACTAGTTCCTCTTTCCTGAGCTCAACCAAACCATCTGGCGTTTGGTTTGGTAGATAACACTATACATGAAAAACATGCTATAAGCTCTTTGATTCCATTCAAGGAACAAAACGAACTGAAATAATCGTTGAGTGTGGTGCAACTTACAGTGTTTGGAAAGAAGATTCGACCTTTCTTTGTCAAGTTGCATGGATAAATCCAAGAATTGCATTCAAAATGAATTAGCTGATCATAAGGACCTTGGAAAGAGACGGATTGTAGGAAAAACTTGTGTTTATGCTCATTTTTTATGAGAAAAGCTCCAGGCTTTCCGAAACCTGGCTCAACGCTGAACTCTATTATGTACCTCTTACTTTTAGCTTCATTAATTTTGTGCATACCCTTTTCAGTCTTCCCATTTTTTAGGTAAATTTTCTGATAGAGCTTTCCTATTCCGGTATCTGCTACATATGAAAGAAAATAACACATTGTAAATTCATACGTATATAAGCGAAAAATATCAATACACTTAAGGACAAGATTTTAAGTTGCAGTTCAAATTTGTTGAGTGCAATCTCTGAGGATTCTATTAATAATCAACTCACCCGGGTCAATCTCGGAAGAACTGTATAGTTGAACCGAAACTGCTTTCCCAGGATCAGATTGCCTAGGATAAAGTTGAATGATAATTTCTCCATAGACGATGTTCTGTTCTGGATTTCTATCTCCATAAACCTCAAGAAAATTGATTTTACCTTCAAAACAATTAAGACAATCAATATTATAAGAACACATGCCCTGCTTTTGAATTTGCTTTTGTCTCCTTTGCCTTATAGAGAAGTAGTGTCAATATTAGAAACAAGAATTTGCAGATACGACGCTAAAAAGGTATTGGATTAGAACAGAATCAGTTATAAAATTGCTGTGCTAACCTTAGACATTTGTCAATGGATCAGATTCATTGCCTCATTCTGGGGTTTAGTTAATATTGGAAACAAGAATTTGCAGATACGACGCTAGAAAGGTATTGGATTAGAACAGAATCAGTTATAAAAGTGCTGTGCTAACCTTAGACATTTGTCAATGGATCAGATTCATTGCCTCATTCTGGGGTTTAGTTAATAAATGTGTTCGTTGCTTCTCATTTACCACGCCCAATGCAAATTTACACGTTTGGCCAAATGTAACTAATACTGCATCTCCTAAAGTTATATCCATATTTATGGAATGCATCAAAATGCATGTATTTATCAGGATAAGTCATTGGTTACTTCAAAAATTCATATTTAATGAAACAAAATCTGCTCAGCTCCAAAGACCCGCAATCTATAATTCCTGACAAAACAACGATATAGAGTACTAAAGAAGAAAAAGGCGTTAAATCTGTTACATTCTAGCTATTACTTCATATCAAACATGTCCCGAGTGTCTAAAATTTTCGGTGGAAACAGTTCTTCATTTTCCTAGCAAAGTAAAGATATTGATGAGAGTTGTTTTACATAAACAAATGCTTGAGACCTGCCAATTAAAGGCCTTCTTACAATAGGACAATTTTTGGGTCAAGATAGCCGCGTGCTAACATTTTATTCCCACATAAGCTGAATTATCCCTTTTTTTCTTAGTGGTAATTAGGATATATACTTAACTTTTCCCTCATTTTCATTGTTACCCGATATTTCAACGCTTCAAAATTACGTATAATCACTCCATTTTTAATAATATGCTACAAGTTCCTCAATTAATTTACACACTCTTAATTGCTTTTAATAATATGCTACAAGTTCCGCCACCCACCAGCGGAGCCCCGACCAATCCGAAGGGGCAGAGGCCTGCGCATTAGATAAATCCGACTCCATGTGCAGTAGTTCACAAACCACACAGAAGAAGTAAACCACACTAGGCAAGCCCGGAGAGACGGATTCGATCGAGGAAGTGTTGGCAGGGGATTCGAACTCATGACATTTCTCCGCGTTCACCAACTCGGCCACCCTCGAATGGGTAGCTAACTAGTTTATGTTTACTATTGTTGATTGTTAATGCATCTTGGTCAATGAAGCTTACATTAAAGAGCTTTGTGACAAAAAGATTGCTAATTAAGAATGCACGGTTTCTGGTTAAATGTGTAGAAATGCAAATCAAAGGTGTAGAAAAGAGGTGATTATCCCTTAGTGCGTCTCTCTTCAATCATAATTTTTCTTGGAAACTTTGTGTAGCAATTTACCTTAGTAAATTTGAAATTAGGTGTACGAGGCAGAAACCACATATATTGCACCTGAAAACACGGGTGATTGGAATCGAATATTTTGAATTATCAATTTTCGCAAATTTAAATTTTCCATCTTCCCCGAAAGTAAGTTTAGAAAAGATAAAAAGAAATTGGTTATTTATTTAAAGGTCCCCCTACTTTCTATAATAATGGACTAGACCAGAACTGATTAATGGTCTACCACTAGTTTCTAAACTAGTCCATCGATTTTTTATTTTTTTTGACTAAAAACACATTGTATACTAAAAAAATTGAAATTATTTAAAATAATGCTCTCTAAATTAAGCGGTACTACAACACTAGTCTAGATGAAAGTTAAATAACATGTTAAATGAAATGTAGAATTAGGTGATTTATTTAATTACACATTTTATTTAATACCACATTAATGTCATTTAAACTGATATTTTACCACTTAAATAATATTACTCAATTATCTAAAGGTAAGTTCGTTGAAAACCTTTAAAAAATTCCACACTTGTATTTGTTTTATTTATGTCGTGTCAACGTTTGGACGTGGGTACCAAAAAGGCAAAAACAATAAACTCTTCAAAATATGTATGCATCATATCAACGGATACTATTAGTCCATGTGTTAGATCTGCCATACACCCTATAAAATTGGGTTAAATTCACCAATGGTCATCCAATTTTATGCTTAGTATCATTATGATCACCCAATTTAACTTCATTTCATCATGAGCACCCAATTTTATTAACGTTTCACCATGACCACCTAACTTCTTTTCGCTATTTTCACTAATTATAAAAAGGGTAAAACGGTCACTTTGCATTATATTTATAAAATAAATAAAAATAAAATTTTATTTTTAAAAAATATTACTTTAAAATATAAAATAAAATAAAAACTTATTTCAAAAAAATTGTTACTTTGAAAAATAAAAAGTTAATTTTAAAAAACGTTTCTTAATAAAATTTTACTTTAAAACAAAGTTAGAAAAACTAAATTAAACAAAAAAAATTTTAAAATAAAAAACTTTTATTTTTTATTTTTCAAATTTTATTTTATATATATAATTCAAACTTATCATTTTATCCCTTTTCATATTAGTGAAAGTGATGAAAATAAATTGTGTAGTTGCGATGAAACGTTATACGAAATTAAGTGGTTGTAATGAAATGAAATGAAATTACCTGCCACGTTAACATTAAGGGGTGGCCGGCAGGGGCGGAGCCAGGAATTTTATTCGGTGCGGGCACAATTTAATCATTGCCGAACTTTGAGTTTTTGGTCATGGAATTAATAATGATAAAAATATAAAACAATATTAAGACAATACTAAAAATGACATAATTTTGAGACTTAACTATGAAATTCATATTTGATAAAATAAGTAACGTAAAAGTAAGTTTCATTTATAAGCATAGCCAATCATGCTCCTAGATATTAGAAACAATGACAAAAATGAAGCAGCAAAGATTGGAGAAGCTAATACGTGGAAAGTTAATATTAGACTAACATAAAAAACAATGGTCAATCAAAAAAAAATTGTGGCATTACATGTGTAGTACAATGGAGTACTTCACTTCATTGGAATATAAATCATATAATGTAAGAAGTCTAATACCGATAATTTTCTTTTATCATTAATATTGTCGTATAAGATTTTCAGGAGATTAGATCAAAATTTGTTAAAAAAAAAAAAGTCTTTTTACATATAACAACGGATCAAGTGAATGCATTAATCAGTACTAAACATAACCACGAGTAAGCACTAGAATATGTATCTAAAGTTTACAAACTCCATTCGTTATTACCATGTATAACATGTGAAAAGGCCACGTCCAAAGCAATGCATTTAACCATCAGATGCAAATAGGCAATGCAGCCACCAATAATTAAAGTGAAAATTCTTGGGATCTCTTAAGACACCTAAAATTTTACACACTGTACTCCTAGTGAAAATTATATGAATATTCCTATTAGGTTTTCAACATTACTTGGATATGAGCATCTCACCCTTCACATCAGCAATTACCATAGGCTCATAAAAAGTCTATCCAAACTTGTGTCTCTTGCTGCCAACGAGGACCTTAGCTCCCTAAAGCCAAACTGCACCAGCAAATTAATCCCTAAACCCTAACTCCAATTCAACCTAACAAGTAAAATTAAGCAAAATTTATTCTCAATTAAGTCAATTCTATGTACCAAACTACCCTTAACTGCACTATCAAGTTAAGTCCAAATCAGCCTCCATACGTTCAAACACGCATAATAACATCCAGAAAATAAGAACTCAGAGCAGATTTTGCATAAAAGGATATAGGGGCACTACCACTTCACATACAAAAGACTGAGACTCGAGAGACGAGACGACGAGACGACTCTGCTCAGACGAATGGATTCACTTTCTTCTTCTACCGACCGAAGGCATATGAGAAACTCAGGACCAGAGTCAGAGACAAAGGCTGAGAGAGTCGTAGATTGCATATGGGAATTTTAGAACGTGTTCTCTTTACCGTTTTCAAACTGGTTCTTGTTTTCAATTTTTCAAAACAGTGAAAACGTGTTTTCTTTCCTATTTTCTAAAACACGTTTTTGAAAACAAGTTAAATAATTGTTTTCTGTTCTCGATTTTTCAAAATAGAGAAAATGCGTTCTCTTTCTCATTATAGAAAACACGTTTTTGAAAACAAGTTAAAAATTTACAAAGAGAACCCAAAACGAAAAATTTGTCATTTTGGGTGTTTTCAATTATAATCAAGCAAAAAATTTCAAAATGCATTTTGGATGTTTTCAATTTAACGTCGCCCCAACCACCACCAACGCTGCTTGCACCACACTGTCACCATCATCGTCGTTGCTGCCGCCACCTAAACCACACCCCCACAAAAACCACCGCTACTGCCACAACATCACCCCAACCACCACCGTCGCTATCTCCAGCACCACAATACCACTACAAAACCGTCAGATACGCCACAACAACCACGACCACCATAGCCACCGCCATACCACAGCCACACCACAGATCGTGAACAAAATTTTCACGGGACCATGGATCGTGAAAACTGCAGTTGGAAATTACTCTGTGTGCCTATTAGGTAAAGCTCTTAATTGTTATTATCATGAAGGGCCAAATTATCTTGAAATAGATGTTGATATTGGTAGCTCAGCAATTGCCGACGCGATTTTGCGCCTGGCTTTGGGTTACGTTGCGGCGGTGACAATCGACATGGGTTTCTTAGTGGAGGCACAGTCAGAGGAAGAATTGCTGTAAAAATTGTTTGGGGCTGTCAGAATTTGTCAAATGGAGATGAATTCTGCAACATTTGTTGATAACTCCCCACCGTCAAGGAAAGTTTTGCCCTGTGAAGATGGAGATGAATAGTGGGTTTATTTTAAGATCAATTTTTTAATTTCCAAAACTTAGGGTGTGTTTGAGCTACATATTTTGGAAGAATGTATTCTGAAATAATAGATTGATGGATAATGTGTGGTTGAAAAAGAAGGAAAAATTATTGATGGGATGGAAAACCCGACACCCACCACCTCCGCACGCTGGAGCAATCAGAGAGATTTCCTCATTGTGGTGGTCGCCACCTCCATCTGCAACAGATCGGATGCTGTCGTCCTCGCCGCGAGGAAAATGTCGAGGCGCTGCCGTTTTGATCCATCCACCCAACCCGTTTGTAGCAGCGTCGACACTGCTGTGTTGCACATCAGCGTCGACACTGCTGACGTGACACAGCAGCGATGCTGCTGTCACATCAGTGGCAACACTGCTGCGACATCGGCAGCAGCGTCGCGACTACTGTGACAGGGTGGAGACGAAAGGGAGGGGAGGAGGTAAGGGAGAATGGGGAGAGAGAGGCCAGAAGAAGGGGAAGGGGAACGGGGACGGGGAGGGGGAGGGGGAGGGGCGGTGGAGGCGGCAGGCGGTGGCAGTGGAGGCGCCGAGTGAGAGAGGCAAGAGAAATGAAATGGAGTATTATAGTTAAAATAAATTTGGTGGGGTAGGTAGTAGGGTGGGTATATAAATTAGTTTAATTTAAAATATTATTATTAATATTAATTGTAAAATCAAAACCTAATTATTGATTAAATAAAGTCAAAACTTAATTTTTGAAAAGGCCAAACTTAATACCTGGTTTGGTGTAATTTCCTTAAAAAAAAAAAAAGATTGGATTGGGCCCAAAAGTTCGCCTGTGCTGAATGGGCTCTCCGCCCCTTAACCCTATAAAATTTATTCATATGTAGGGTTTTGCGGCTCTTGCTATTCGCTTTCAGAATGGCTGCGTACAAATCGAAAACTGTTGAGAAAGCTTCTAAGGAATTCTTGTGCGATCTGTTGTTGGAAGAAAATCAACCAATTTCGGAGCGATTTAGAGCTTTCGGTGTGAGCAGTCTTCTAAGAAATTCTTGTGCGATCTGTTTTGTGGGTTAATGACTTGATGACTGGCTTGCTTGAATGAGGGAGATGTCATATAGACTCCTTTTTTTTTTTTTTCCTGTTTTAGCAATGAGGGATAAGTCAAGCATTCTGGGACACGGGGCCGCAAATAAATTGGGTCGGATGCAAGATCCTGATGCTATCCCTGCGTTACAAGCTGTTCTAGGCGATCTTTCCTTGCACCCCATTGTTCGCCTAAAGGTATTATGATTTTGAATTTGGATAATGTATATTCGTCTTTTTTCTTACTCTGTTTATTTAACAGGCTGCAGAATCTCTTGGTGCGTTTGGTTTAGAGAGTAGTGTTCCAGTCTTGAAGACTGCTTTCGAATCTGATCCATCTGCAGAAGTTAAAGAATCATGTGAACTGGCTCTTACTCGAATTAGGGAGCTAACCAATGCGAAGCCTGATGAATTAAGACGTTTCAATTTGTTGGAAGTAGCTCCATTGCTCTTTCGCCCTATTCCGGAATTAAGGTTTGCACTTCTTGATATAGATTGATAATCATAATATGGTCTTACCAGTCTAGAAAATTATTTGTTTTGTTCTCTGGTATATTATTCAGGGAAGTTCTACTAAATGAAGACAATAGCCTATATGAGCGCTGCTCTGCACTTTTTTCACTTCGACTTTATTGTCTTCATCCGACCTCTTGTACTGAGGAAGCAATCTCAGCTATTATTGAATCCCTATATGCAGAAAGCACAGTTCTACGGTGCCATGTACGTTTTCATTTTGTGCTTTAATGCCAAGTTTTTCTAAAGAGACATTAACCTATAACGAAAGAGAGATCACATGCACACAAATGGTCAAAGTAGTTTGAGAGTGACCCTCAACACTTGAGTTTTTGAGTTTGGGAAGTTGGTTCTGGTTGTAACTGGAGGAATTGACTCTATTACTTGAACATCTAATGTTCTATTGACCTGTTCCCCAGGTTGCGTATTGATTAGTTCTAATAGGGAACAAAAGAGCTTTTCATGCTTTATCCCAGGTTCTTCAGAGTGCCTCCGAACATCCTCTGGTTAGACATAATGCTGCTGATGCTCTTCATTCTATTGCAGTAAAAGAAGGTCTTGATTCGACTACATGTATGTCCTCCATTTGTACTTTTTACATATTGTTCTTATACCATTTGAGGTATATTTATCATATTATAGTTAGTTGGCCATGGCAATTGCATTAGAATGAAAACTATTTTTTCAGCGAGTGTAGATGGCGGGCTAGACGCCTTTCTTTCTTTCCTTTTTTTTTTTTGGGGTCCGACTGCAATATACCATAGACGCAATTCTCTAAATTATTTTGTGTTTCCAATTAAATTAATATTATGAGTTGGTGAAAAAGTTTCAACAAATTGATTTGCAAAATCTCTCGAAAAAAATTGGTACAGACTTTACCAATTACCATGCTGTTAAGTACATATTTTTATGGATGAAGAATAGGTGAAAAAAATGAGCTGGTTTATTCTATATATATTTTACTTGATCTTCAATAGTATAATTTTCCTTTTTTATTTTGCACAATTCTTCTTTCATGCATCTTATGGATTTGTAGACCGCGAATGTATTATGCTGCTCAAGGAATTTGCTGAGGATCCTGACCCCATTGTCTCACAAAGCTGTGAACTTGCTATTAGGATGCTTGATTTTAAGAGATCAGCGCGGAACTTTCTGGTAAATCTAGAATTTGACTTATTTTTCATGTCATTTCTCTATTCTTCACATAAAATGAGTTTATTAGGTAAATATATGTTCCAATTCTCTTTTTGTATTCTTACGTAAATGTTTTGAGTTATTTTTTGTTGTGAATTTTCAAATTGTTGTTGTTAAACCACACCATACCATTGGCACTAGAGTCCAAGAAAGGGAATCAGCAAACAACACTAACAAGGCATGATATGTTAATTAGCCCATTTTCAATCACACATTCTTTCAAAATACATTATTTCAAAACTCATTTTCAACCACACATTCTTCAATAAAATAATATTTTCTATCACATTAATAACTTTTCCTTTTAACCACATTTCCCATCGTATCACTATTTAAAATACATCATTTTCTCAATAATATCCATCAAACACACTCCTAAAGAAGAAAAATACTTTTGCTATGGTTGGACTTTGGAGTAAAATGTTAGAATCTTTTTGTTATTTTGTCATTCGAGCTTAAGACTTTTGTGTATCTAAGTATTAGGGGATTTATCTTTATATATATTGTTGGAGTTATATGATCAGTCAAAATATCATTGGATCAATACCCGATGCATATGCATGTTACATATACATTTCGTACACGTTATGTATCTCTTATTATTAATCTTTCGTAATGATACGTTTATGTGATTACATTAGAACGAGATTTCTATCAAGTGTGTTTGAAATTATTTAATTTTAGTAAAACAACAATATGCATAATTGTGCAATCTTAACAAGTGCGCATTAGCCAACTTAGCCAAGAACAGTAAGTTACCATGTATTAGGCAATGGAAGAAGACTCAACAGCTACTTTAAAGCTAGTATCATTTATTAGGCAAAGAATTTCTGAAGTGACTGTAAGAATCCTTAATAAATAAGAAGTAGGTTTAAGAGTTAAACTGAAAAGTAAGAGAAGGAGAACTTTCTATACTTGAGAATATTTGGATTACAGATGTTCAGTAAACAATGGAAATGGCAGACATTCAAATATGATTGTATAATAGAATAATGACAAGACAACCACCTAAAAAACCATTAACACTTTTTGTGAGGTTCATGTTAACAAAAAGGTCGAGCAGCATTTTGAAGGTGAAACTGTTGCTTTTCTGCCTTTTAAGTTGAGAAACGTAAACTTCTATAATAAGGAATTCCACTTTCTGTGCTAATCCCAGCTCTAGTCAAGAAACAAGCTTCGGACTGCAAAACGATTCAACAAAAATCGGTTCCATTTTTCTTTCAATCACAAGAACATTAATATGAAAATAAAGAAAATTAAGCACAATAACTTGGGGCCACATATCTACTCCGAGTTTCACAACTGACATATTAGCATGTAAATTTTAGGTGGATAGATCATTAAGACATGGAGAACATAGAGCATTCGATAGGGAAAAATCGAACTTAGCTAAGCAGCTTCGCATATGTCTAATCTTCATACGACCAATCAAGCAACTACAAGCAACTACAGCTAAAATATTAGTCTAGACCTTGATTTGAAGCAACAGGTTTCAACAGTTAGATCAATCAATTTGTTGAGAATTCAGTTAGATGATTTACACATGACCTCTAATCCAACAATCAGCACACAAGTAGTCAACACTCTTTACATGCTAATGCCACTATCTGTATATCTAAAAGATCTTCCACGCGTCTATAGATTATCATTATTTATGGACAATCAATATTATGAATACAACGAACAATGACAAGTAACGATTAACTTCAAGGATAATTAACTAAAAAGGAATAGAGTGGTGATGCAATTTGCTGAGAGTATGACCACATACAGGATGCAAAGGTGTAGCCATAACCATTACGAGACACAATAGAAGGATTTTTATTATAGATGCCCTAGTAATATTCATATAAAAGAAAGTATAGTGAGATTTATAAATAGACTTTAACGAGAAAACATGAATTCAAAGATCATCCAACATTCATTCCTTCATTGTTTTTGTATAGAGGAAACTATTCCGAAATTTTTTATAACCTGGACGGGAGTCATATGAAATAGAATAAATCATTATAATGAATTTGTGGTGCTACTTGGAAATTATTGGGAAGCTGAAGACCAGATAGGATTCATGGGAAACATGGAAGTTATTAGTGCTAGACAACCTTCCCATCCTTCACTATTGATGGGATGCGTGATCTCATGACAGAGGTATCATTCCAACAAATTTGGAG